TCGTGATAGTTTGAAGATCTGATTAAAAGAACGTTTTAACTTCGATTGAAATTAGAGAAATTTTTGATAATTCAAGGAATTTCTTTCTACAAAAATAATAAGCAGTAAATGTCAAAAACCACAAAAAATCCCTTATATCGATCAAAAGTCTTGCTTCCATCGTCTTTCTTTTAAGTCTTTAGTCCCCAACAATTTTATGCAATTTCCTCAATGTTTCCGTTGGGACAGTTGCACTTAAATCCCAGTTGAATTAACTTTACATGTTCCGTCATTTGCAGAAGGATTCGCCGTGCATGGATCTTTGAATAAACAAAATAATCAATAATTTTTATTTTTATTTTAGAGATAATATAGATTAATTTTTTAAAAAAAAATAGTATGCAATGAATGTTAAAACTATTGTATCTTGCCTTGCCATCATGTTTAGGACTTCAGTTGAAAATTAAATGTTGTGTTCAATGATTTTCTCTTTAGTTTTGATTTCTATCTATTTGAAAATGTAGATTTTAATTTTAAAATTTTCCTCTTTTTCAGTTCTGACATCATGTTTATTACTCCAGTTGAAAATTAAATGTTCGGAAAATTGTCCAAAATTATATCGTTGACAAGTAATGATGAAAATATATTTTGTTTGCAACGGAAAAAAGTATAAAAAATATATTAACTTGCATTACCATTCTGCAAAGAGTTCTAGTTAAAAGTTTGTGTCAATTAAAAAAATTCAACTAACAAGAAAGCGGTGAAACTTTTGACTAACATTAAATTCTTACGGCGATAATATAACAAGAATCTGTGCTCATAGTGTCTATGAAATAATTGAAACCTGCGTTGCCATCTCTACGAGGCGATATTAATGCTGTAGATAGCCGGAAAATGATCAAAGCTTCGATAACAGTAGTTTACTTTCACTGACACAAAAGCGAGATAATAAAATAAAGATAGTAAAATAGCGCTTGTTGTATACCCCAACGCTCTTCTAAGTATTCAAAATAGTGTAAAACTTAGTTTCACTTCCTGAAAAATAGTGTACCACTTAAAAACCTGTAATTTTGAAGATTGAAAATTATAGGTGAATCTCAAAACAATAAAAAAATTAGCATTTGATGTTTATTTTCAAAGTGTTAATCTTACAGCAAACAATACGATGGTGGATGCTCTGTAGCTTGGAAAAATTCAACTTTATAATTCAAATTTGTCATGTTGTGAAAGAGCTAATTTTCTTGGATGACATCAGGGTTTTCTCCGAAATTCTGATTTGATTGAAAGCTACGGCTTGTTAATATGCTTCTGAAAGCATATTATTTTCCTCCTAATATTTTTTTCAAAAATAGCCATCTATGTACACTTTAGCGAGGAATCGGAAAAAATGTTTAAAATATTATTCATTATTTTGAAACATACCTGTCAGGCATGTTGGTCCACTGAAGGGCTGCTTGCATTTGCAAGTGAAGCCTTTTTCATTAAAACTACAAGTTCCACCATTTTTGCATGGGTTTTCAGAACAAGGATCTGAAATTTTTTTAAATATACTATTTATAAACTGTTAAGACCAAGTAATAAACATTTGATGTAATGGAATAAATGATATCAAAAACTAATATCACAAGGTTTAAGGAATGTTTAGGTACAGAGTGACAATTATTCAACTGTATGAAATAAAACCCTCATAATTTTTAAACGATTTGCATGATAAATTTCAAACTTTGTGGCTGACCACCAGGTATGATAGGAATCAGTATGCGCATGCAACCTGTTGTTTTCGGCTATTCGAATGTGAAAGTGTCGAGGTCGCTGACGGCATGGTGACTACTGAACGATCCATGAAGATTTTGGGAAATGATTTCATCCCCATCATCCAAAGTGCCCCTAATTCCGACAAGATATGGTTCTAGCAAGACGGAGTTTGACTTCATCTGGCCAAGAGAGTGTTTGATATCCCGGGTGAGCATTTTGGGGACAGAATTCTGGATCTGGGGAACCCAAAGGCCACAGAAATGGGGCAAACTTGGCCACCATATTCTTCAGATCTGAATACATGTGACTCATTTTCGCGAGGTTGTATAGAAGAGAATATGTACTGAGTGACTTAGAAATTTTCTTTTTCGTTAACCTTTTCGAGACGGGAGAGTCGTAAATGTATTCGTACGGAATCGGAGGCAGAATGGAAAAAAAGAAAATGTGATAGCTTAAGTTTGGTCTTGGCTAATTTGACAGGCTTATTTTTCACTTTACTTTAACTCTAGCACATCTGATCCATGTAGAACAGAATTTTTTGCAAGAAATCCAGTTTTTCTTCCAAATTTTAAATCTATTGAAATTTCTTGAATATCAAAGTTTTTTTTTACAGATTTTTTAATACTCCATGATAGACCTGAAACTAACTACTCGCTACTTAGTGAGTCAACAAAAGAAAAGTAGCCACCTAAATAAACAACAGGTCACTTTTTCTCATTGTTTTGTTTTTACATATTTTGAAAATATTTAAAATTGTTTATATATATGAGTACATAAAAGCAGAAATACTCTGGAAATCAGAATTTTCATTAAAACGTCCAAAGTCTCCATTCAAAATTTTTATCTTTCGGAACCCATCACTTTTTGATGAAAAGATTCGCGTGGAAGGAGAGTTCTATAACAATTCACATTTTTCAAAGTTGTAAAGTATACTTTTTGATGAAAAGAGTCGCGTGGAAGGAGAGTTCTATAACAATTCACATTTTTCAAAGTTGTAAAGTATACTTTTTGATGAAAAGATTCGCGTGGAAGGAGAGTTCTATAACAATTCACATTTTTCAAAGTTGTAAAGTATACTTTTTAATGAAAAGATTCGCGTGGAAGGAGAGTTCTATAACAATTCACGTTTTTTAAAGTTGTAAAGTATACTTTTTGATGAAAACATTCACGTGGAAGGAGAGTTCTATAACAATTCACGTTTTTTAAAGTTGTAAAGTATACTTTTGCCTCTCTAAATATTTTTTAAATCAAGCTTTTTGAAATCAGCATGTTTAACTAAATTTTGTCAAATATTCATATTATTTTTTATTCAGCTGTGCCTTTTTATAACAGCAGTTTATTTCTAGAATGATATTGCTTAAATATTATTTTATCCATGCAAAAAAAGAAGCTTGCTGAAAGTGGCTACTAAATTCATCGATAGATATCAGTCTCGTACTCATTATATTTTAGGAAAAAGTGGATACTATGTTATTAGAATCAACTGGCCACTGCCAGGCAACTGAAAATTAAAATTGTTAGATCTACTTCATGATATTAAATGATAGCAACCTATCCATTTCTGAAAGAAAAATAAAAAATGACTTTTAAAACACTGTGCTTACCTATCAGACATGTTGGCCCACTGTAGGGCTGCTTGCATTTACAAGTGAAGCCTTTTTCATTAAAACTACAAGTTCCACCATTTTTGCATGGGTTTTCAGAACAAGGATCTGTAATGTTTTCAAAATAAACTATTTAAAAACTGCACGAACATTTTATGATAAGGAATGGAAAAGTCCTATCAAAGTATAATTTCACAATATATGAACTATAATGAATCTAGCGTTACAAAACAAAATCTGCCATTATACACAAAATGAATATGTGAATAATATTCTGTACAACCTTTTTCACACCGTGTTCCATTATATGGAGCTTTGCAGTCACATTTATACTTATTAGGAGATGTGGTTCTGCACGTGCCTCCGTTTTGACACAATTGTCTATTATAACATACATCTATAAAGAATTATAACAAGTGACATATATTATCAGTAAAAATACCAGCCAATAGGTTATTAAACTTTCGACCCCAATTAATTAAAAAATACAATTAGCGAAAACATAACATTCTGCAATGTGATATCAAGTATGATTGCTTTTCTTTCAATAAATAAAAAACAAATATAGCAAGATCGTAAAGCATCTTTTCTAGCAAACTGAATTTTATTTAAAGATTCACACGTGTGAATAAGTTACGCAACTTTTTATTGCAAGCACTGTTATTTCAAATAGCATAATTTTAGAGGTTTGCAAAAACTTGAGTTTTAGTAAAAGTCAGGACCGTGATCGAGCCGTGATGGTTCAGCGGTTAAGGCACTGAGCTGTCATTGTGATAGATCGGAGTTCGATCCCCAGTGGCTGCTGGTAGCCTACTCGGCAGCATATTGATTACCAGCTTTTCTTGGAAGTAAAAATGGCCTTTGCACAGTGCTGACCATAAGGACACAATCACGCAGTTGGTCATAAAATTGGAAAGTCTTAACCTCCATAAGGAGTCTTATCCCTCATGGCCCACAGCGGGCTGTTGCTGGAATGCTTTACATTACAGGACTATGAACATCGCGATTACAAGGCACTTTTTAAAGGCTTTATTTAAAAAACGCTATTTGAATTGATCATAGATAATAGCCAATGAGACATTTTTCAAAATTATCGCGTAAGCAAGAAGGGTTTGCTAAACTTTGGTTGCCTAAAAACTGAGGGATCAAAATTTTTTCGAAATCATTCCTATGTATTATTTGTAAAACATGTAATTTTGAATGCGCATAGTTGATAAATCTGTCGATTATTATTTAAAGTATGTATTGCAGCTTTTAATTCACAGGCCTGATGCATTAACATAATTCGAAGAAACCTCAGCCTTATTTAATGCACATCTTCGCTAGGCTGTAAAAGTTATAATTATAGAAACGACTTTCAAATTTCAATTCTGATGCGCTTAATGTCGTTGACGTCCTTAAACGTTTCATCTTAGGAAAATGTTTCTGTTTCAATATCCTGATCCTATCTGTTGATTCTTAAAATAACAGGCTTAAGCAACAAAAAAAATTGTGCAAACAATTTTACTTACAAACTTTTAGTATTTTGATTTTCTAACATGTTTCTATGTTGACCTAACATGTTACTTTGTGACAGAATAATAAGTAGAGTTTTTTATAATGGATGTAGGAATTGATAAAGAATGTGAGGGACATTTTAGTGAATTTTAATAACTAAGCACTTAAGTAAATAATGTTGAAAATAGGAAGTGAAAAATATTGCCTTTGTTTTTTGTCTGCAAGTTCCTGATTTAAAAAAAAATTATATGAATCCTTAACTTCGATTTGAAATATATTAAGTAAGTGTATTTTAAATTTTAACTGTTTGAACCCATTTAAACTGGTTGAATATTAGCATTTGCATTCTTATAACTTCAATATGCTGCCAATAGGGGTATATTTAAAAGTTACGGATTAATTATTTGTAGTCAATGCATTTCAAGCCTTTTTTCACTTCAAAATAAAAGAAAAAAAAGCACAAGTCTGAGCAATGTTTAAAAAATTGCTTTGCTATTTTGTTTAATTTTTGATTTACCTTTCAGTTCACAATTTTTCCCAATGTAAGGAACAGTACAGTTGCACTTGTAAGAATTATTTTTGTCTTCTATGCAGGTTCCTTTATTTTGGCAAGGATTAGATGAACATGCACTGACTTCATTTGCAAAATAAAAAGAAAAAAACAAAATAAATATGAAGAATTTGTAAGATAATAAGAGTAAGACACTATCCGACATAAAATAGTAGATAGAAAAGAGCACAAAAAATGCATAAAAATGATTGTTTTCTATTGAAAAGGATAGTTTGTATGGTATCCAATAAGTTTATCATATACAGAGGGAAACATTGTCTAAATTATACATATAGTGGATGGTGATATCTTCGAGTGTGGATGGTAATTTCTTTTTCCATATATTTTCCTTTACATTATTAATAGTTATATTATTATTAATACTTTCTTACCAACAACTTAGATATTTCGAGTGGACTGCATTGACTATGTTTATTTTGATACAACTTATTTCCATAGGTTTCGTTTCTTCTATAGAAGCAAATGAAACGTACGTAACCAAAGCTGCCAACTTTACATTTGCATTTTAGGTCGCATCATGTGTCGCATAGTGAGAAAAGCAGTGGATACTGTTAAAAAAAAAAGCTCTAAATTATCATAACTCACAGATAACTAGCATAACAGCTTTTAAAAATGTAAAAACTGATTTCCTTGAGAATCCAAGGGTTATCGAGACTGTTTTCAATCATTGTTAAATTAAATTGCTTTTTCAAGCAACTTGGTCTTCTGATGCTGGCTCTTCACCTTTAGATGAAATACTGAGGCACAGACCAGGGCTTCTGTCCTTGCCGTTACTGGAAGAACTTTGCTGATTTCCCAAAATAATAAAAGGCTAACCTTTTGCTTATGGCTAGCACAACTAATGGTGCAGAATAGCGGGTGCTATTTCGTGCCGTAGGTTAATAGAAACTGTCTTTCCATGAATGAGTTTCAAAAAAGTGTTCAGAAAATTTTTAACCAGCAGTTCTAGAGATAAAGTGAAAAATGAACATGACAAAGGAAATATATTGTTAGTGAGGGCATTGATTAAAAAGTTATACGCTTTGTGTGTCACCTATTAAAATTGGTAATGGAAATGTGGTTCTACATCTCATTTAGTCAAAGAATTATTTTAATTAATTAAGAATTATTATTATAATTATTTTAATTAATTAATTAAAAATTATTATAATTATTAATCATTTTATCACCCAAATATAATATTTAAGTATTTTGTTGAATACTTCACGAATTCATATTATACATTAAGAATATACACTTACAAATGTTTTAAATTAAATATGAACATAAAATTGAATATTAGAATCATACTTCATAACTTCCTTGAAGTTAGTCATTCTAATAATATTAAAATCAGTCACATTTATCAGCAATCAATAATTAAAACCACTTAAATTATTTTTAAATTGCAAATAAAAGAAATGGTAACTATCAATCCGTATTCAATCATCATTAAGGACTGACATGAAACCAAATTGAACATCATAACAATAAGAAATACTACAAGCAATAGATTGTATCAGCAAATGTGTAAAAATAGTAAAAATCACTTTATATAAAAGTTACACAAGTAAAAAGTGAGCACTTGTGATAGCGTCGGCATAACAGTGGAGAGAGCAGTGCCAACATTCATGTTTATAACGACAGGTAAGTGTTGTAATCATTAGCAAAGAAGAGTATTAAGTTATACATTATCTTCAATGAATTAGCTGGGACTTCGAATTTTCGATAATAATGTAAGACATTTCCAAAAGCTTTTAAATCATTTGTTCTGTCCACAGCCCTTTATCCTACACAGTATTAAACATAAAAAGCAGCCATTGCGTGAGAAATTTCCTCATTCAGCTCAATTGCTACTAAATTTGGACTTACTGCGCATTGCTATGTTCTGGCGGCAATCATAAGCAGGAGCAATTCAGTGACACATTTTCTTATAAAGCTTTGAAATTGCTTCTGAAATTGGTATTGCATCAGTTTGCTTTGTTCCGGTCCATCCATAAATAGTAGTCATTTAATTACAAATATTTCCATTAAGCTCAGCAATTGCTACCGGAATGGTATTACTGCGCATTGCTCTATTCCGAAGGCATCCATAAACAGAAACCACCCAGTGACAAAATTCCCAATTAAGCTCTTCAGTTGCCACTAAAATGATTATTACTGCACGTTTCTATTTTCTGGAAACATCCCTAAACAGCTGAAATTCCATGACAAATTTCTGCTTTACGCTCTTCATTTGAGAGAGAAATTAATATTACTGCTCTTTGTTCTGTTATGGAAGAATCCGTTTCTTCACAACTAATTAATTAGATACCTTTACTTATAACCTCTAACGACGGTGCTACTATCCCATTATATTCCTAACGCTTTCACGCATGCACACTTCTCTTTTGAGCGTTTAACAAAAAGCATTGAAATACAACCTTTTTCACAGAGTCGGCCAGAATATGGAGGTTTGCAGTCACATTTATACCTATTAGGTTTTGTTGTCCTGCAAGTACCTCCATTTTTGCACAGTTGTTTATTATAACAGACATCTGAAATTACATTAATGCAGATGAATACTGTAGAAAATGAATAAATTTAAGGAAGTCATAACTTTCAAGCGCATATTATTATTGT